TATGCCTTTGAACTCAATAAGCAAAGGGAAGGGGGCCTTTTGTTTTTTTCTTCTTCTCCCCCCTCCCTCCTTTTCTTCTTTTTGCAGTTTAGCAATTTTGTTTTGCATCTTTTCCAGACGGCGTTTTGCAATAAAAATGTCTGACTGCCAGAGAGGCACAAAAGTCAGGGCTCCATCCAATTTCCCAGGCTGCTCTTGGTTTGGGGGGAAGAGGATTTGGTTGTTGCTGAGGGTGAACAATAGGTTTTGTGCATCCAGTAGGTCAGCTCACAAAATTGGAATTGTCTTTCAAAAAATACGCAGCACACAGTCTTTAAAATGTCATCCAGAGGTACAACCATAAACTTCCTTTTCCATAATAATTTTTTTATGCCTCAGATCAGGAAACACTATTCCAACCTCAGTAAGTGGAGCCTTAGGAGTATGTCCAATTGAACAGAGGGGGGAAACTGCCACAAAATGAAGGTGTTTTTACAGAATCACAGAGCGGTTTGGGTTGGAAGGGACCTTGAAGCTCATCTCATTCCATCTTCCTGCCATGGGCAGGGATGTCTTCCACTATCCCAGGCTGTTCACAGCCCCATCCAGCCTGGCCCTTGGACACTACCAGGGATAGATTAGAAGCTCATCATCTCTCAGTGGAAACCAGGCAGAGATCTGGGGAGGATTTTTAGCCTGGACCTGCCCTAGTGATGGAAAAACAAGCTTTTGAGAGATTGGAATAGCTGAAAAGGACAAAAAAGTGTGATATTCATACCTGTGTACCATTATAGCCTTGGAAAATCACTGCTCTCAGAGAGCCTCTCATTTCATATGTGGTGCATTGGAAACAGGTGGCAGTGGGACACATGGAAGAAACACAGGGAGGCCTCTAGGAAGGGGCAGATATTATTTTACATTTTAGTGTTGTGACACATGGCTTATCCTGGGGTGAGTGGTTTCAATGTGAGCTTGGAACCCCCTTTGCCCAATGTAAAACTACAACCCAGTGAAGGGCTTTCTCCCTATCCACCACTCTTGTATTATCTGAAAACCCTCAAACTCCATAACATTTTTTATATCCTTGTTTTTGATAATCTGAGCCATGTCTTTAACTTAAGGATGGCTCTAGAGCTCAAGGACGAAGGGAAATGGCTTTAATCTGAAGGAGAGTGGATTCAGATTGGATATTGGGAAGGAATTGCTCCCTGTGAGGGTGGGGAGGCCCTTGTCCAGAGAAGCTTTGGCTGCCCCATACCTGGAAGTGCTCAAGGCCAGCCTGGACATAGGCATCAAGCTAGAGCCACACATAGCCTGGGTTCAGCTTGTGGCCCTTGGTGGAGTGTCTTTGAAATCATTGTGGTGCACAGATGTAAATTCAACAACTGCTGACATTCAAAATCCAAAGAGGCCTCCCAAAACGACGGTGTCACTTTTTGGTAGGCCTGTTTAGAAAACATGATCATACCCATTTGCTCAATTTACATGTCTGAAAGGCTCTGGCTCAGTTAATTGGTTAAATTAATTTCTGCTGTTGTAAACAGAGAGCTGCTGTATTAAGAGCAAAACTAAATAATTTTACTTTACATTATTCTGTGTCATGGTGCATCATTCCTTTCTTACTCAAGGCAATTCATTTTGTGGGGCTGTCAAGCAATATTTGGTGTCATCTTCAGTCAATGCAGCTTTTTTGATTTTCCCCTGATATTTTAACAGTTTATTTAGTCCTGTAGATAATGGTCAATGGCCTTGAGTAGTCAAATTAACACCTTGGTGGCACCGTAGCGGAGCAGTAACCCGGGGAGGAAAAGGGATGAGAATCGAGGCGGGGTTTTGGGGGATTATGGATTGATGGATGCGGCGCCCCGCTCTGACTAAGATGGAGCTGCCAGTTAGTGCTGACCGCAGGCCATGGCCTGCCTGGTGCCCCAGCAGCTCGGGATGGAGACCTTGGCGTGCCCCTCGCATCCCGGGATCAGCGGACGGCGCCGACTGGATCCAATCCCGCGATTCCTGCATTCAGTCCTGTACTCACACAGTCCATTGTCACAGTCGTGGTGGGACAGTGAACAAAATGGAAGTGAAGCTGGATCTCTTTGGGACGTGCCCCGGGAGGAGGGGGAGCCGTGTTAAGCCGTGCTGCTGGCAGCGAGCTGCGAGCCCCGGTCCCCCGCCACAACTCTCAATTGCTAGCAGGTTTCTCTCACTGCACCTCATTTGCATCTGGGACATCAATTAGCATGTTTGTTGAGGCTAATTGAATGAAACTCAATCATAGCTCTTAATTGCTTGACTATGTGAAAAGAAATCACATTAATGCAGCTAATTAAGTGTATGGCAATAGATGCAACATAATTAGGAGCGAAATGTAAAAAACAAGTGACGGCGAGGTGCGAGCGCAGGGTGTGGGGGATCGGGGCGCCTGCGTCTCCTCTGTGCCACGTGTTTGGGGAGGGGTCCCTCTGCTTTGCTGCTGGCTTTAATTTTTATTTTTTTCTTATTTTTGAATGATGAACGCAGACAAGTTGAGAAGAAAAATGCAAATGGATTCGCAATTACTACTTTTTCAAGCTGTTGAGGGGCAGAAGATGGCACGTCTGGGGTGGCCCACTGTTGAGTGGGCTCTAGGGACTTGTTAAGTGCTGTTTAAAAGTACTTGGCTTTGAATTACCCTCATGCCTTGTTAAAGGTTTTTTTTCCCCTTTTTTCTCGGATCAGCATTTTCTACAACTAACATCTTGGGGAGTTATCCCTGTACCATTTGCATATCAAAATCCAGCTTGCTGTCTTCTCTTTAACACAGCATATTCCAGATGACAGCAAGACCCTCATCTGTTCTAATCTGATCAAACCCTCCATTGCGCTTCTGAAGCCTCGGCGTCATTTTGTAGTTTGAACTTTCATTCCCCGAGCGGGGATCTGACGGGGCTGGGAGCGCTGTCCTTGCCCTCCCCTCCTCGGGGAGACCCGCAGATTATCACCGTGCACCCTGCACACGATGAAAGGGCCTTTATTATTTACATTTGATATATCCCCATAAATATTTAAGCTGACATTAATACCTACCCAGCATCTGTTGTTGTTCGGGCGCTTCGCTCTGACGGCGGCTGCAACACGTTGCGGTTGTGTTTGCCAACACTCCCTGGCTTCCTCAAGTGGTTTTGTGGCTCACCTCAGCCTGGTTTGCGCCCAGCTAAAAGGCCTTTAATGACACCCTGCCACATCTCAAGTTGTGAAATCACACCCACCCTTCATCTGAATTGGAACCAAAACCCCCTTGTCCAGTTTAAGATGGTTGTACGTTAAATAAACCTACAAGAAAAGAGCATGTGTCGAGGTTTAGTCACTCTCTGATTAAGCCTCATTTTACAGCCCACAAGCAATAAATGCTCAATTATCTTCTGCTTATTGTATTTTAATTTGTGAAGAACTGACACCCAAACAAAAAAGTTCCACCAAGTTCATAATTTATGGATGAAAGATGTTTGTTCTCCAACACATAGTACAGGAATTTTCCTGAGTGGATTGCCTTTGTTTTTCTCTTAGCAGCAGAGTTCTGTGTCCTCTCCCCACAAATTGTTCAGACCCCACCTTTTCCGATTAATAATTCTCAGCTTGGGAAAAATAAGCTGCTGCGATGGCTTAGTTTGAGGGTTTATCACTGATTTCTGTTAACTATGAAGAAATTATTGCTGGTCCAGATTTTTGATGGGTTTTGAGCAGAATAAATAATTTGTGTTGTAAAAACTGCCGAAGGTGAAAGAATCTTGATGAGGGACCAATCAGCTCCCTGGATTGTGGCAGCAGTGATACAGATTTTGGATAAATTCAGGAAATTTCTTGTGAAGTGGGAGCCCAGATCTTCTCCCAGCCACCTCAAATAGCTGTTTTTCTCTTGGGGTCCTTAATCCCAGAGTCCTGGAGTGGTTTGGGTTGGAAGGGACCTCAAAGCTCATCTCATTCTATCCCCTGCCATGGGCAGGGACACCTTACACTGTCTCAGGTTACTCTAAGCCCCAGTGTCCAACCTGGCCTTGGATACTTCCAGAGATCCAGGGGCAGCCACAGCTGCTCTGGGCAGCCCAGAGATCTTTTTGGACATTGCTTTTTGGACAATGCTCTTGTTGCCGCTTTTTATCCCTGATTTTACTGTCCTGTGCTGCCCCTCTTGCATGTCCTCTTTAAGAGATGTGTCTCTCTTGTTTGCTTTTCAAATCTTCATAGTTGTTCCAGTTTCAATTATTTTTTTTCTGGAATGTAACCAGAGCCCTGTGTACCAGGAGATGAGAACTCTGATGTCTTGTGTTCTGGCTTCAACATTCACCATCTCTCCTGGAAATAGCTGTGCTGATGTATCCCAGGATCAATTTGCCCTCTGATAAAAACACCCATGTCCATTTGCTTTTCTGTTTATTTCCCCTTTGTGGGCTTTCCAGGCAATAATTAGCAAAATCCTTTTCCACTTCTGGCTCCCAGTGTTTGCTCTAATCAGATGTAATTTGCAATATTCTTATTTCCCCTTTGATGATGCTTTGTGTTGGTGCAGGAAGGGTCATATTCTAAGGGATCAGTGTTGGAATTGCTGAAATCTTCCCTGCTGGTGCCCTTTTGTAACTTTGGTGCTTGCTGACCCATTCCAACCAAATTTGAGGAAGAAAAAGATGAGGGCATAAAACACTGGCAGAGAGGAGACACAAGTAAATGTGCTCAGGAGGGGCACTCAGCCTGGTCTTCTCCTTCTGTTTGGGACCTTTAGCTGGTGAATTCCCACATGTGGCCGTGTTGTGAATCACCTCTTATCCAGCTGGTAGTTGGAGGATCTGTGAGAAAGCTCCAGACTTTTGGGGTTAATATGAGAAGTGTGGAAGCGATTATAAGGAGCATAGAAGGAAGGGGAATACCATATGGTGGGTGCAGGCAGAGGATGTAGGACTAAAGCCTCGTGAAACCAGATTTATTAATGTTGCTTACAGGACTCCCTGTCTGATGTTGTGTTTTGGGGCTTTTTCCTCTCTTCGCAGGATTACATGCAGAACGTTCACGGGAAAGAGATCGATTTGCTGAGAACCACTGTGAAGGTCCCTGGGAAGAGGCCACCCCGAGCCACATCAGCCTGTGCCCCCATCTCCAGCCCCAAAACCAACGGCCTCTCCAAAGACATGAGCAGTTTACACATCTCGCCAAATTCAGGTAAGGGAAGCCCTTGCTAGGGGGAAAATAAATGGGAGAAAATCTGCATTTCCAGTGTCTGTAGGGAATTATCATGAACAGCTGGTCTAGGGATGGATATCTCTCCCTAACTGGAGGTGTTCCAGGCCAGGCTGGTGGTGCTCAGAGCAACCTGGTATTGTGGAAGGTCTCCCTGCCCATGGTAGGGGGTGAAATTGGTTGAACTTTAGGATATTTTCCAACCCAAAGCATTCTGGGATTTACAAACCCACTGATGTGGAAGTTTTTAAGCCCTGACTGCTGATCTGTCCCCCATGAGGGATTCTGAGTTTCTGAGTAGCTTTCAAGTGTCTGTCTTTGTGTATTTGTTACCCTGTACTTGCCAAAGCCCTACATAATTTCACAGTCATGAACAAATGGGAGGAATCTACGATCTCTTATCTAATACTTAGGAAAAATAAATGTTGTATGATCTGAAAGGGCTTTTTATGGCTTCCTGGTGAGATCCACAGCCCTTCTTTCCACTTTTGGAAAGTTTAGTATTATGCATTCTTTTAACAGCAAGATTCTTCTGTGGAAAGCTTTTTAATTTATTGGTGGAAGTGGTTTATAGCTCCTTCTGAGCTCTAAACAAAGACGTTTATTGTTTGCTGAAGTACTTGTCCATACAGCTAAGTGGATTTAAAAAATTGCATTAAGGGAAAACATTTGAGACAATTTATCTTGTAAAATGCACAGCTTGTACAAAACTCATAATGGTCTAGTGGAAGTCCTGTCAGCATGTTTAGGATGACATCCATAAAGTGCCAAGTGCCTTTTGCATTTATGGGTAACATAGACACCTCCTGCATATCCCTCTGCAAAACCCACTGGGATGGGTAACCCTGGGATTCCTGGATATTCAAATGTCTTCTCTTGGATAGTAATAATTATCTGTCTCATGCTTCATAGAATCAGGCTTGTTTGGGTTGGAAGGGGCCTTAAATAGCATCTAATTCCAACCCCCAGTCCTTCATGCCAAGGTGTAATTCCCTGCTTTTTTGAGACATTCCCTTTATTAGGAGAAAACAGAGAAGTTTTATTCCCTTCCAACTCTTGACTGGTACTGTTTGAGGTGGGTTTGTAAAGTGGTGCCACTGAGCAGACACTCCTGGAGGTCTCAGGCTGGGACCTGAGGTGTCTGAAGTTGTGATGTCATCAAACCCTTTTCCAAGTTTTGACCTGGCACTGGCAGAGTTTATAGGAGAAAATTCTTCATGGTTGGGTTGTTTTTTTCCAGTTTACTATATAATTTAGATGACTAGGTATGGGGAGTGCTTTGGTCCTCAGTATACTTCCCAAATTTTAATTAAGGGAAGAAAAGTGCTGGAGTGAGTCAACAAACTGCAGGAGAGATGTTTAAATAAAGGGATTTCAGCTTTTAACACATTTGAACACAGTCAAAAATTACTTGATAGCTTCAGAGAAGCAAGTTTCTGGAAACATATTTAGAGATATGTAAGAATTTAAGGTTTATAGTATTGAATTTACCTGTTTTGGCATCTACTTGGTTTGCCAGGTCAGAGGGAAACTTTTCCTGACAGTTTGCAGCAGGCAGCTCTCACTGTGTGTGTGTGTCCTGGCCAGCCTGAGGTTTGATCACACAAGTCAATTATGCCAGAAATTCCAAATGCTGGGAAATCCAGATAATGAATTTCAAATAACACTGTAGGAATAGTTGGAGCTTCTCTCTTGGAGCTTCTCTCCTCCCTCTTGGCTTCTTCATCCTCAGTTCCTTAGTAACACTGAAAGACTTTGCTGTTGTTGATTTGTGGTCCGCATTTGCTGCTTGTTATTGGCTTAAAAGCAAACATAAAAAGGAGCTGCTAATCAGCTAAGAATTACTAAATAGAAAGAAAATAAAAAAAAAAGGAAGGGCACTGTCCCAAGCTGTGTCTGACTTCATCTGAGCTCTGATGTGGTCAGAGACAGTGGTCACAGCTCCTGATGGGCGGGAGACCTGTATGTACTTGGGGCTGAGTCCTGGAGTGCCAGGAGGACCCCTGGAATATCTGCAGTTATCTGCCACAGAGCTCAAAACACCTGCAAATTATCCCTTGCAGGCTGTGCTGCTGCCTCAGAGCTTCCCCTCTTTTGTTCGTGCTGGGAAAAGTCGTGTCCTGAGCCTGTGTGGTGCTTTCAGATGGATCACAGGGCTGAACTTGTCACTTACTGGTTGTCACTGGGAGACTTTTGTACACAGCTCTGCCACATGGAGGAGGTTTGGACCAAACAGGAAGAATCAGCGCTTCCTATTTTGATTTTTAGGCCTGTAAATTCACTCTATTTTCTCTGTTTCATGTTACCTCATCCCCAAAAGTTAAATGCTGCTTAGCTTGGTTGATGACTTCATTTGACACTTAAACACTGCTTCCAAGATGCCCCTTAAGGATGGATTTCTATGCCAACTTTGCTAAGAAATCTATGGATTAAATACCCATTTCATTGCCTGTAATTGATAATTTTGAGTTCATATTTCAGCAAATAGTTTTCTCTGAGTGTAATTTCTTGTGATTCAACCACTCTTCTGATCCCACCACGGTCTGTGAGGCAGCAGAGCAGCTCCAGCTCCTCCTTCTTCTCAACCCCTTCTCTCTCTGAAGCCTTTTTGAACCTCAGTGATGGATCAGACACCTTAAATTTCCTCCCACATGGGGACGATCTTTCCCAAGGTGCTTCCCATAAAGGTGCTGTGACCAGAATAGAGGGAAAGAGGCTGATCAGGGCAATATTGGGAATTTGGGAAGGACAAACTCAGTTCTTTGGCACAAACCAAAAGAACCGGTCCTTGAGAGTTTCCATTTCAGAGGTATTAAAAAAAACCAAAAAAACCAAAACAAAAACACCTTTATGAGAATATCTGAATTTTAAAAACTCTGGATTACTCTTCCCTGCTGGGTTCCCCCTGGCACAAGGGCTGGGAAAAACACTTTTCCCTTAACTTCAAGTCACACAGTCCATTGTCACAGTCATGGTGGGACAGTGAACAAAATGGAAGTGAAACAGCAGCAGGAAAATGCAATATTTTCTGTGCTTTGTCAGAAAGCAGGGAAAGGAGTAGAGGGTTGGGCTGCTCCTGCTGTTACAAAGCCAAGCACTTTACCTGAAAAAAGGTTGATTTGGTTTGAAAACTGATCTCTTCTTGGATTCTTGGAGGTGCAGTTTGGGGTTTATTGTGTAGGAACTGGGATTCTGTGTGGCAGCTTCTCCCAGAAAATACTGACAGATGCAGGGTCATGTTAGTTGGGTTATTTATGTTGTGTTGACTTCAAATAACAGGTTGTTAACTGTGGCTTCAGGGAAGGTGCTCACATTTGTAGGCTAACTTGGTGGGAAACTGTGAGTTGGGGAAAATGGATGTTTACTCCCTTCAATCTAAAATTACGTCACTTCTGTGGTATTTTCAATCCAAGCTGTCAAACAATGCTGAAGTAACTGAAATTTAAATTAAATTTACATGGCACTAAGCATCATTCTGTTGATGCAGCTCAGTTGGAAGTCCTTCAGGAAAGGGTAATTCTTGGACTTGCTCAGTTCCAGCTTTCTCTAAGAGCTGGGAGCAGGGCCAGAGTCCTGTCCATGCCACAGTCCTGTCCATCCCACTGGCCAGTCTCTCTGCCCTTTAGGAGCTGGCTCAGCTTGGCTTTGGAGCCAGGAGTGGGTCCAGGTTTCATTCACTCCTGAATTGGGTTGGATTTGAGCTGCTTGACCTGAAGGTGAACTTATTCCTGAAATCTCTCCCAGGAGTCATTTCTTTCTTCTCCTCTCCAAACAACCCAAAGCCTGAGCTGTAGCAAGAGTCACTGATGTAGAAAGTTCACGACTAAAAATAGCTTATGGTGTAGAGATAAATTGTTTCCTGATTAACACTTCATTTAAATAATTTGGTGCTATTAAATTTCCTTAAAATGGTGACTGTACAGTATGTGAAGTATCCCAAATGTGTTAGTTCCAGAGCCATCGTTAAGTGCGCTGAGGGTTGTTATCTGCTAACTGCTTGTGACATTTCAGATGCTGCAGGAATGGCAGCTCCACGTTCTTATCACTGTGAGGCTCATGTCCATTATTAATTGTGATCATCTATCAGATCCTTGGTGTTTTTTGTAGATCGTGTGATAATCCTTTTTAACTGGGGGGTCACTGTGAGGATTCAGATGTTACGATCAGGTCGGTCATGAGTAAAAACGTTTATCTAGCCAAGAACTCAGAAGCATGGGCAGTTTTTCCAAAGCCTGTGGATCTTGGGTGCCTTTGAAAATAAATGCTGAACTGAGCCCTAAATTCTGGAATCTGCTCTGAATTCCCTGCTTGGAGGTGACTGAGGGTGACCTGGTGTGGTTGCTGGGAGTTATCTGTCACTAACGTGAGGAGACTCTGTGCGAAACGCTTCCCGCACGTCAACTCCAGCACGCGTTTTACGCCTTTGCCACAGGTCACAAATGCAAGTTTGGGACTTACTTTTGCTATTCATCACCCCAGTCAATTTTCCATCTGGGTGGCTTTGCTGTTGGTTCAGTGATATACAGCTGCGGTGACAGGAAGGAGAAGTTGGCAGTTTGCTTGTTTCAAAGGAAAAAAACCCAATTTCAAGTGCATCTGAGATTTCTCTTTCATCCCACTAGAGGGATGACTCAAGGTCATTTTCTCCAGTTCCTTTGGACTAGGATTTGCCCTTTCCAGAGCTAGAGAAACCCAAAGTTCCACTGTTAGTACCCTAAATCCCTTAATAATAGAAGAAAAGGAGCAGGGCACATATTAGCAAATTAGCAATAATGAAATAAATATTTGATAAAATAACTGTGTTAGTTAAATATTGAGAAAAATGAGTTTGCTGAGATTTTTCTCTTCAGGGGGGGAAAAAAAGATAAAATGAGCTGTCTGAGGATCCTTTCTCAAGGTGGGCAAACCCCTAATGCTGATGAGGTGGGTAAAGGGTAGGAATGTGTCGTGGAGCTTCAGGCAGGTGACTGGAGCCTGCAGTC